AATCTGATAAATCTCTTAAGAAGGGACTAGTGAGTTACCGAGCCGACCTGATTTTCTCAGGCAGATTGTTCCAGAGCCTTAAGGCCCCCTGACTATAAAGACTCTGTCCCAGAAACCCAGCTGACAGGGCAGACAGACAGCACACGTCTGCCTGAGGATCTCAAGGTATGTAGGTGCATAAGGCACTATAAGATCTGATATATAATGTGGAGAGAGGCCTTGAAGAACCGAAAGTGCAATCCGTAAAATCAATACTACAACATAAAAGGAGCCAATGTAAAAAGGCCAAGCTGAAGGCTCAGCTGAACTTTGTACAGTTTGGAGTTGCTCAATAGATATTTGGTTCAGGCAGGTAAAACTGCTGTTGGAATAATCCAAATATAATGAGATGAAGTCATTTAGGATGGGCTCAGTGTTTTTAAAAGTTAAAATAGGACATATTTTTGAAATATATCCAACATGGTAAAAACATAACTGTATAAGTTTCGTGGCGTCTGACTACAAAACAAAATTACTGTCATGATAAAGGCCAAGATTTCTTACAAAAGGCTTTATATGTTCCACTTGGGAACCAGCAGATGGCAATGTTTATTTTGTTGTGCTCCCATGATACCTAAAAGAACACAGCTGCCCGGGGTCAGTTGGACTAATGCACAGGTACATCTGTGCGTCAAAAGTGTCACAGTATTATGTAAAACTTGAGAACAGACATGATTATCAAAGTAAGGAGGTAGTGAGAGGAGTCACAGTCAAGTAAGAAAGAGGTGAAATCAAATTTTAAACTTTTATAACATTAGCCTGAACATTTTCTGCCAAAACAACAGATAATATATCAACGACACTTCGGCACACAGAATGGAGGAGCTGGGAATTGAACACAAACTCTGATTAAAAGAGGAACTACAGCTCACCCACCACTAATGGAATTCATTTTCCAGGTGCCTTCCTGATACCATACCTCATTCTGCTGGTGCTGGAGGGAATGCCGCTCCTGCTGCTGGAGTTTGCCATTGGCCAGCGTCTGAGGAAAGGCAGTGTGGGAGTGTGGAGGGCCATCAACCCTTATCTGACTGGTATTGGTAAGTAAACCAAGCTCTGGAGCTAAAGTGGTTCTCTGGCTTCCTGGTGAATGTTATATGACAGTTAATGATGTTGTCCTGCAGGTATAGCCTCCATGCTGGTGTCCTTCTTGGTTGGACTGTACTACAACACCTTAATAGCCTGGATCATATGGTATCTCTTCAATTCCTTTCAAAGCCCACTGCCTTGGACCCAGTGTCCTCTCAATGACAACAGCACAGGTATTCGGGAACACACACATACTCAAGCACGACAATAACCCCAAACTCGACAAATATTTGCAGAGGCCTGTTTCTTGCCTCCACAGCATTTGTACCCGAGTGTCAAGAGAGCTCCACTGTGGATTACTACTTTTACCGAGTGACTCTGAACACTACAACCTCTATAGCTGACTCAGGAGGACTCCACTGGCCCATTGTAGTCTGCCTGTTCACCGCCTGGACGTTCATCTGTATCTGCTACATACGGGGGATCGGCACGTCAGGCAAGGTTTGTTGAACCTTGATAAACTCTACGATTGAATGAATCACCACTATTAATATTATTTTATATTTACCTTTTTTATATCTTGTCATGACCTCAGGCAGTGTATGTCACTGCCATCCTGCCGTACATAGTGCTGGCTATCTTCCTGATCAGAGGGCTGACTCTCAAAGGAGCACTGAGCGGAATAGCGTTCCTCTTCACACCAGACGTATGCATCAACTCACGCTCAGAAAAAAAGCTAGTTATTTACCTCATTAGATAAAGACAGGCGGTAACATGTGCCTCCCTCCTGCAGGTTGATGAGCTGATGAACCCGACGACATGGCTGGATGCAGGTGCCCAGGTCTTTTATGCCTTCAGTATAGCGTGGGGAGGCCTCATCTCCTTCTCAAGCTACAACCCTATTCAGTAAGACACATTTAGAAGCAGTTGAAACAGGTGGCAGCCTTTGTGTGAAATATGTGTCCTGAATCTTTTGCTTATTTTCTTTCTTCAAGCAACAACTGCATGCAAGATGCTGTGATCCTGACAGTCATAACTGGTGCCACCTCAATCTACGCTGCCACGGTCACCTACACCATCATCGGCTTCAGGGCCACTGAGAAATATGAAAAGTGTATCAGTGAGTGAGTACATTGTATCGGTGAGTCGTCACAAAATGTGGGGCCCTCAACCTAACCACTCGACCATGATTCCTAATCCTAACCACTTGTCAGGAGATCAAGGTCATAATGCCTTGACCAAGCGATCAACCTATAACCCGAACCATTCGACCTAGAGGCCTAAAAATACATAATTAGTATAATGCAGTATAAGATATATGTTGGGATATAATATAGGATAAAAAGA